AAATCGTAAGTTTTGTTAGTAATATTTAATAAGTAGTGGCAGTAACAACTGAATTTGCTTTTTTCTTCAAGATCTTGAGCCCGGGTGTTCACGAGTGAAAAATTTGTCGATAATTCTAACATTAAAAACTAAAATAATTCTTAAATTAGTACTACTTTGCTCTTACAATGAAGTTAAAAACGCAGCATCAAAACTCCAAATGCCGATAGATTCTGTTAATGACTTCTAAACTTATTTTTCCCATAAAATATAATTCACTAGTTTTCGTGGTCCGCTTGACCAATTAATATCTTTGAATTAATTAAGGTTTTTAGTTGAGATAAAAGTCAGTATCACGAGCGGGATTCGAACCTATGAGATCTCAATCCCGCTCGTGACACTGACTTTTTTATCTCAACTAAAAACCTTAATTAATTCAAAGATATTAATTGGGCCGAGTAGATCACGGTCACGATACTCAAGTGGTAGTACAGCGACTATCTAGCTGAAGATCGTGGGTTCGAATCCCGCTCGTGACACTGACTTTTTTATCTCAACTAAAAACCTTAATTAATTGAAAGATAAAATATAATTTTAGTAATTCGTTTTTACAATATTTCGATTTTCCGAAATACTTTTGACTTGCAAGTTTGAAGCTGAGCAATCGTGCTTCCCAGATTTGTTAGTGAAATCCGAAGAGCCAGAGCTATCAGAACTATAGGTCTATTATTCTTCTCATTGCCCGTCGTCAAAGTGCAACGAGATCCAATCTCCCCCTAAAGCCAAAATGGTGGGATTTGAAAATTGGCAGACTTCATTACCATTACTGACGGCAGTTTCCTTCTTGGTTATCAACAAATTTAGAATCAATTTGTTCACGTCGTGTAAATATAATTTTTACAAATATTTAAAATATACAAAATGTGCAAATAAATTCTCATGAATGTATAATTCTCTCATGAATGTATCAATGCTCCATGTTGCAATCCCTCGACACATAGAAGTATTACATTAAAAAAAAAAAAAAAAAAAAAAAAAAAGTGTCAGTTATTATAACAACAGTAAGTTATTGAGGAGTAGCATAAATTCCTTCACTAAATAAGAGAAAACTGACCTAATTAGAAATGAGCCATTTTCCTGGTAAATACTTTCACAAATAAAGCTGATACAGAACGATAATATGCCACTTTTTGCAAAAAGAGACAGCGCGTTCCCGCCAATTCAAACGTGGCATATCCACTTACAGTCGTGTCATCCATCCTGTAGCATCACACACCGGATTACCTCAAAAAACTAAATAATCCGGTTGTTAGACTTTTTTGACATCATTCCATTTTAAAAAGATCACATTGAGTATAATAATAAACATTAAATATTTCTTTGTGGAGTGAACGGTTGAACTGAAAAGTTGCTGCCAAAAAATTACAACAAATACTGGTGGACGAGAATGTTTATACATATATTAGGTTTTAATGTTGGTTACATGATAATTTGGCTCATCAAAGCAAAAATTGGTTTCTTTTTATACTATTAAAATTAATTCCTACAAAATAGCCTAAATGATAGTTATATTTCTCGCTGAATTCATTAAAGTATAATTGAGTTTTCCTTCTTCAGCATGTCATAAATCACTGAGACCGGGCCATCAATAACTCATGCCACGAAAAGGAATGACTGTCTGAGAAACAGCTCATTCGGTCTGATGCTTGGGAAAAAAGGCCATTGCTTGCAACATATTCATCTTAAGAGACACGGAAAAAAGTCATAAAAGACTAAAAGGCATCTATCCTCTAGTCTAACGCAACCCTCATAAAAATTTGAAAAATAATAATCTTTGATGATCTGATCTGTTATCTTCGCTAATGCATAAAATGCGGTGATAACATTTATATGGAAATCACAGGTTTGTATATTTATAAAATGTGTTTAACGTGATGTTCAACCAGTAACAATCGTAACATTAACAAGTAATCATCCACAATAACGTGATGTGTTGTAAGTACTGTTGAAGTTATATTATTTCCAATACTTACTTAAAATTATTATTATTGTGACTTCAAAAAAAATTATAAATCGTTTTTATATATTCGTCTTTAGGTAATGGTATCAATGACCACTATGTAATACGTCTCGGTTCTGATTTCAAACATCAATTACTTATACTTTTATAATATTATTTTGGATCCATTACAGCTCGTGGTCCGATTGACCAATTAATATTTTTAAATTAATTAATATTTATGAAAGGTATTGGTCGAGATAAAAAAAGTCAGTGTCACGAGCGGGATTCGAACACACGATCTTCGGCTAAATACGCCGCTGCTCTACCACTTGAGCTATCGTGACTTCGATCCACTCGGACACCAACTCCCCTTCTTAACCTCACCTCTCGAATTTTCCCTCCTTTTTGCCATTTTTTTTTTTTTTTTAACCTTTCATAAATATTAATTAATTGAAGAATGTTAATTGATCAATCGGACCACGAACTTAATGGATTTAATAATTAAAATGAAGTATATCTTCACTAAAGCTCTCCTTGTCCATTTAATTTGCTGCCGAGAACCGAATCCTGATTACAGGGCATTTGAAAAATTGCGAAAAGGAGGGAAATACGAGAGGTGAGTTTGAGATGGCAAGTTGGTAGATCGAAGTTGGATCGAAGTCACGATAGCCCAAGTGGTAGAGCAGCGGCGTATTTAGCCAAAGGTCGTGGGTTCGAATCCCGCCCTCGTCACTGACTTTTTTACTTCGACCAATACCTTTCATAAATACTAATTATTTTTGATGTGAAAAATTATCATCTAATATTATTAGCATTGTACATGTTAATATTACATATATATATTAATATTATACCCACTGGGTGTCGCGCAGACGAAAGATCAAACTACTTCACGATACAAATTTTTCTCAATTAAAAATCGATGGGATGTGCCGGGATCTGAACCCAGAATCGCCAGCTTGGTCTGAAGAAGACGCCCTAACCGCTTGGCCACTGTGGTTCCCTTCCAATTCGGAATCCAATTCTAAATAACGCTTGGCCGCTTCGAATATAATTAATAATCGATTGTATGCGTTATTTTCATGATAGGAGATATAAAAACATCGTTGGGGGTAATAAAAACATTGATGGTTTTTAAAAAAGTAAACAAAACCAATTTTTGACACAATTAGATAAAAATAATGTTTTTTATCACACCATTGATCCTTAACGGTACATGTAATTAGTTTCAAAAATTGAAAAAGTAAGGAAAAACACGAAGAAAAAGTAAAAACAGACTTTATGAATACTTTTGTAAGACTATAATAATCTACGTATATTTTATTTCCTTACAGAACGCGGTTTACTTTTTTTCCCACCTAAATACGATGTTAACCCGTGGGCCGGAATAAAAACATGCAGGCGGCCCTAGTTTGCTAACCTCTGGTCGAGAGGGTCGAACAGACAGGTGAAACAACAAAAGATGAAGGTCATATATTACTTGTCTGTATCTCTCGATCTCTCGTAGCTCCTTTCTCGAGAGTTCTTAAATGTAGGTAATACGTGTGAATGTGAAACATTTTTTTAAGGTTTTTCAAATCTAATGTAACGTTTGATCGATCAAACGTAGCCCTCTTCAAGTTGCAAGCAACCCTTTCCACATGAATTAAGGAACAAGATTACATTTAACGTGGAAAGGGGTTCAACTCACATGAGAAGGATTACATTTCTTATGGAAAGAGGTTCAATTCATATGGAAAGGGTTAGATTTGATTTGGAAAGGGGTTCAACGCACATTGGGGCATAGAGGCAACGAAAAGGTTGACATATTGGCCAAAAAGGGAGCTAACATGGACTCTATGGGCCCAGAACCCTACTGCCACAAAAGAGGATACTAAAATGGATCTTTAATGAGTCCAAAACCTGGTGGAACAATATCACAGGTATGAGGCACGCGAAGAGATTCAGAAGTACCATCTGCTAAACATACCAAAAATTTACTAGAAGGCAACTGCAACCAAAGATTCTGGTTGGACTCCCCATAGGGCACTGCCACTTAAGGCGGCACATTCACCGTATGTATAGGCAGAATAAACACTGTACAGATACTGCCAGGAAGAGGAGGAGACAGCAGAACACATCTTATGTTTCTGTGAAGGTCTATGCAGGTGCAGGTTCTTGCAACTAGGACAAGAAAAACCACAAGCAAGATCCTACACTAAGGAACCGCTGGCAAAGCTTTGGAGGCTGGTTAATAGCCTGAAGCTGGCCAGTGAGTTATAAATAACAGAGGAGCATAATAGATCTATTTAGGTCGAGGTGCAGTAGGCCTTGTGCCGCCTCTCTTTTCCCTATCTCTACCCCTATCCCTATCCCACATAGGCAGGGTTACATTTGACATGGAAAGGTTCAAATAGACTCGGAAAGGGTTTCCACTCATGTAGTCAGGGTTACATTTGGACATGGAAAAGGCTATGATTTGTGAAAGGTGACTTGGTATGTTTTAGATATAAGTTTAAACAAGGGTGTAAAGACAATTTGTTACATCAACCTATAGAAATTAAAGACGGAGGCAGAACTAGTGGCAAACAAAAATATAGAAAGAAACACATAAACCTGAAAAATGGCGAATGTATTATATTTTCATGTTGTTTATTTCACAAAAAAATGAACTCAACACTAATAACGAATTCTTCAAACTATGTATTGGATGTCAAATGGATGTAAATTATAAAGGGCGACTGGAAGGTTAACCACTTCATCAATAGAGGAGAAAAATCACCGGGACAAATGTTTGGACATAAGTATTCAAGAGGTCGACCATACATCATTCCTCTGTCTCTAACAAACGACCGAGGCCGTTGTTTTTCACCACCCCGATGCTGTGGAATGCCCACCCTCGTTCACGACAGTTCGGAGGATTATAAAGGGGGCTTGCGGCTTGATAGCCCCCCCCTCGGGGGCTTACAGGTGCGCCGGAAGCGGTGGAGGGGCGCCGTGGGAAGTTTCGGTTCCGGTCCGGCCACATGTTATGTTACCTGTGTACTAATGTGCTCGTCGTATTGACTCACTGGCCGACTACAGCGATCTTTGGATATACGCAATCCGGTGAGCACAATTTCTTTCTTCTTCGACCAAAATGAATATGAATTTATTTGCTAACCCATTTCAATTGCTTTGAGCCGTCTGTAAAATCAATTAAGCCTCACGTCGTTTCAATTTTAAGTTAGTGCTAGTTTTAGTCGTTCCAATCAACATCATCATCAACAAATACTTGAAAATCATTTGAGTACAAAAATTTAAAAAATACTAGTAAACTAATCTAAAGGTTGCCAAGAAAAGCTATTATATTAGAGTTGAAATAGAGTGAAATACAATTTTATTTTGTGTTTACATTATCTGAAAAATGTTCTCACATGTCAATTAAAACTTGAAGATTAATAATTCTTCTACACTATAAGACATTTATGATATCACAACGATTTTAATTTTATTTATAAATTCGTGGAAATTTAATTTTTTAGTTCTGGTTAAATTATAAAATAATATAGAGTGGTAATTCCTGCTAAATCAAATTTTTTCTATTTTATTATAAGGAACATCTAATTTATTATAGTTTCTTGTCTTATAAAATGAAAACTATTTAATTTTAGTTCAATTATCACAATTAAGTTGTCGAAATTTGTCTTTCCAATCCTGTCTGTTTGATCGGGGCGTCGCTGGCCACAACGGTTTAGGCGTTGACACGGCGCTCATCACAGTAAGGTACAGGTCCCGGGTTCGAATCCAGCGGCCCTGCATCCAAACCTGACATACTTACAAATGGGCTCTTTTTAAAAAACACCCCGAGGGTTCATATAACCTCGTAGTTGAAATACCCTCATTATAAGCTAAAATAGCGAACCTTATTTTATTATCCCAAATTCCATAAGAGACAACTAGCTTTTTTTAATTTATATTATTATTTAAACTCTTTAATAAATATAAACTTTGACTTAAAATTTTGGTTTGCATATCACGGTGAATTTTCCATGTCAAACTTGGGACAATAAAGACGCTAATAGTTTTACCACGTCAGGGTTATCAGGTTCCATTTTTAGATCTTTGATATCACAGATAATCGTTTTGGTGTTGTTTTCGTTTAAGCAAAGACCTTTGCTTTGAAACCAAGATTCTAGCTGCACTTTTAAGTTTATTTAAATTGTCTATTAGGTCAATGCATCTTTACTTTTTTGAAGAGGGTTAGTATCATCTGAAACATAATAGCGGAAAACGTTTGCCTAATACATATACATACAATACACAATCGGTCCAACAATGAACCCTTGTGGCACTGCAATATTTACATTATTAAATTGTGACCATTGAACTTTATATTTTACTGTTTGCCACCTCTCTGTTAAATACGGTTCGATTTATTTTATTGCATGTTCATCAAAATTGTACAACGATATTATTCCTTTTACGAGTAGCAGATGCAGTCGACGCAGTCATATGTTCAACTCAAGCTTAAAAAAGTAGCCATAATACAGTTTCCCTCTTCAAAACTGTTTAGTATGTACTTTATGAGGTCAACAATTGCGTTGAATCCCTATCCAATTGAGAAGCGCTGAAAAGTTTTTTTTTTGAAAAACAGCAATTTGAATGGTTAACAGCTTCAAAAATATTGGATAATATTGGCAAAAGTGAAATTGGTCTATAATTTTTTGTCACGTTTTTACCTCCATTTTTATGTATCAGGTACACCATGGCTAAGTTAACTGTTAAATAATTTCATTACAAATATATATATATATATATATATATATACATATATACACAAAATATTTAATACATATATCCACATGTAGTTAGATTAAATTTTTCACAATTTTTTATGTCAGATATTGTTCTCCATAATAAAGTATAATGAATATTATTTACAAAGTGTAAATTTTTGATTGAAAACAACACGTACTCAAGCTTTTGCAGGATTTAATGATTTAATGATTTTAAAAATTTGCGAACCAGTGATATTTGAATTGAACCACACGACGTTAAATGGGTAAAGTTATACATTTCATAAATATGCTTGGTTTTTAATTTCATTTTAAATTTTTAATTGAATTTTCAAAGCTAACCTTTCTCCTACCTGGAAAATACACGCACTTTGTGCTATAGAAGTGATTCAACCGAAACATAGAGTGGTTAAACGCAGTAAAATACTTAGGGATAACTTTAGACAGAACTTACCCTTCACCTACTCATTACGTAGTAAATAAATGTAGAGATCTAATAGTTCAACTATTTCCTTTCTTAAATAGAAATTAAACATTTAGTGTTGATAACAAACTGTTATTTACAAAGCACTAGTATGTGGGCAGTCTCATGGAGCTTCACTAGTGACACTAATTTTAAACAGTTGCAAAAAGTGCAAAATAAATTCCTAATTAACAATGAGCTAGATTATCGACCTGCTGGAAACATGAAGTCTTTTCGGAGGATCTACGGAAGAGGTCAAACACAGAGAAAACTTCCTTTCCGAAATTGCAACTCGGCGAAAACCGAAAGGAAGTTTTCTCTGTGTTTGACCTCTTCCGTAGATACTCCGAAAAGACTTCAAAATTCCTAATTGTTTGTCGTGGATGCTCCTAGGTATACACCCAAATATAAATACATTAAGGATAATATAAAAAAAATTCGTGCGAAATTGTTCATTAAAACTGTAATAGTGAAAATTTACTAATAAAAACAATAGCACAATACAGTGTTAATAACAACAGTACAAAATTACACAAAAGAATTAAGAACATATTAAATACTTAAACCTAAGTGTAACTCAGGGTTGGGTTTTTGTAGTCCAGTTTTTTTTTGGTGGTTTTTTAAGGTGTAAGACATTATTTATGTCGAGAGGTAAAGTATTAGTACTGGCACTCTTGTTTCAAACTTGCAAATATGTATATACATGTATATGGACAGTAAATAAATAATTTTGATTGGGAAATTTCGGTCGATAAGAAGTCGATTCACAAAATCAATAAAACCACCTGATTCACTGTTTAGCTAAAACCATTTTGTTTTTGCCAATTATTGTGTACGAAATACATACTTCAGCTAGAATAATTTGATTAAGCTTTCATTGATTTCGGTTGAACTTTCACTATTAAATAGGCAAAAAAAAAGTACTTACATAAAGCATAAGTCCTGCGATTGCAACAACAATCAATTACAATTCGAATTGAAACTCTTGAACTGTACGGAACAGTTGAGCGTTCCAATCTTAACAGACTACAAACCCTACAATCTAAAATTCTGCGAACAATAATTAATGCTCCGTTCTGTCTCTAACCATACAATTCATACCGATTTAAAAACCCCCATTTCTTATCCGACCTTGCCCAATTCCGTTACAAACATTTTCATTCTAAATTACCCTTTGCGAGAATTGCCATCCTCAACATTACCCGACGTTGGCCACGCGACAACTTAGTTGCCTAGCATCGGCAAATGATAATTGCCAATTGATCTGCACCCTGTTGGTGATCTAAAGAGTCCCATCAATGGATGGACGCCGTTCATGCCTTACATGCCATTTTGTGTGTCCTTGCATACAAACTTGAAGCGAGGAACACACTTACCCGATGCAACGCTATGCGACGCTACTCAAAGCCACCCGATGCAAATCCAAGTCCATTTTTCCATAAGATTGTATTACCCCTTGCACATCTGCTCAATGCCACGCAACGCTACCCTACTCTACGCTACGCGTTTCCCACTGTCCAGATTTTCGTCGGGGTAGCATCGAGTACAGTCCAAGACAAAAAACCGGACACTCATATTTTTATTCAAACTACACGTATTATTGTCGTTATATTAGTTTCAACTCATTTTATAATAATTAATACTTATTTTAATATAAACCAAATTAAGCGAGATCAAAAATTCATTAGTTTAAAAAAATAATTTTAACGGTTTGGCAGAAAATTTATCAAAACAACGAAATAACATTATTTAAAACAATTAAATTTACCTAACAATTTATTACATGGTTGTGCTAATAAAATTTAACTAGCAATTTATTTCATGGTTTTGCTCCTAAAATTACACCATTTTCGTCGAGTAGCGTCAGAACAGGACACTCATATTTTTTGTAGTTTATTTCGAACTATGTATATGTAATTTTGTCGTTGTATTAATTACAACATGCTTATTTTAATGTAAACAAAATTAAACAATATCAAAAATTCATGAGTTTTTATAAAAAATTATCTAATTATGATGGTTAGGCAGAAGATTTATCGAAACACTGGAATAACTTTATTTAAAGTAATTAAATTTGACTAACAATTAATTACAAGGTTTTGCTCAGAATAGTGCATTAAGAACAAAAGAGGCGTTGCGATTGTGATACTAATTTCGGATACACGCTGTGTGACTGTACGTGGCGCGCGCTTGACGTAGCTTAGATGTTCACACCCTACCAAAACGTGGCACGGCGTCGGGTAGCATCGGGTAGCGTTGCATCGGGTAAGTGTGTTCCGCTTTTATGTTCACACAATATAATAACAATTTCAATATTTTTGCTTGCTGCATATTTGAAGTGCAGTTGTAAATAAATAAATTAATTTAAAAAAAAAACTTTGAAAAAACCAAAACAATGATGAAAGATGTGGCAAAATTGTCTTGTTATAAATGAAATTCAGGATTGCGAAACACTCAATGAATATTCAATAAGTTCTCAAATTAATTATGATCAACATTGAATAAACAATTGTTTATACAGCTTATGTGATTCATATTGTGAAAATAAATTTTTAAAGTAACTACATTACAATTAAGATTTTTAGTTGAGATGAAAAAAAGTTAATGGCACGAGCGGGATTCGAACCCACGATCTTCGGCTAGATACGCCGCTGCTCTACCACTTGAGCTATCGTGATGGGATTTTTTTCATCTCAACTAAAAATCTTAATTAATTGTAATGTATTAATTGGTCAAGCGGACCACGAAATTAGTGAATTTTAAAGTAACGTTTTTTAATAGATAAAATTTAGCGTTTTGGGATATAAGCCAACGTTTTTAAATTTAAGCAGTAAATTCGACAAGAAGAAAACCTTCAAAAAAACCTA